TGACTGCAGTCTTCATGGAAGCAGACTGCCTTGGCCTGTTTCTGCCGTAGTGCTGCTGGGTTGGTTTGAAATGCCAACCTTTTGGTTCCTATCTGAGTACAAACTGTTTGTGTCCCCCAGGAACCTCTTTCTGTGTACTTTGAATAAAGAAATTTCTAAACATAAAAGCAGTAGAAGTCACAGTAGAAAGACTGATAAAGTTGCTCATGTGAAAATAGGAAATTGTGCATGTCTCCCTAAAAAATCATGAACATAATCAACAATGGAGGGTAAATAACTATTATGAATATGAGAAACAGTATTATTCTTAACATGTAGAAAGCTTCTATTATTAAGAAAAACAAATATCTCAAATATTATATCCCATATGATACCCATATTGGAAAAAAAATTTAGCCTCATTAGTATATACAGATATATAATTAAAATAATGAAATGCCACATATTTGATGTATTGGCAAGTGTTATAAAAGTGATAATGCTTCATACTGCCAAGTATGTGGTGAGAGAGGCAGATACTATCTGTCCTGGCACGAGTATAAGTTGTTACAATCTTCCTGGAAACAATTGGCAGTGTATCAGAAGGCATGACAAAGTTCACATCTTTTGATTCACAATAGTATTATTCTAAGACTATTTTATTCACTGTGTTTCTTGCATATATATAAATTGATTTTCCATTCAACAATTCATATACGTTTTGTTTTGTGACATTGATTGCAATCCCCACAGTGTAACCACACTCTTAACACTTCCTGCCTGTGTTTACTGTTTCTATTTATCCTTCTTTCCTATTCCTTCCTGCATTTTGAGCTTTACCGCTTGACAAATGCTGCCCTTTTGGTCTCAACTCAATGGCAGTGAGTTTGGTTTTTTTTTGGGTTGATGATGTTCTAAGAAGTGCATACTTCTTTGGTGTTATTGTTCACTTCATAAGTCTGACTGTTGTTGGGCTGAAAGTTAAGCCACAGGAGTAAGTTCAGTTCTAGGTTTGAAGGTTGCAAATATATTTTAATTAATCAAAAATTTAATTAAACAATATAAATGCCTATCCTCAGTGAAGTGTTAATTAAAAAAACCAACAAAAAACCAGTTGCTGTGGAGCCCATTCTGACTCATGGTGAGCCCATGGGTGTCACAGTACAACTGTGGTCTGTGGAGTTTTCAATGGCTGATTTTTTGGAAGTCACGGACAGGGCTTTCTTCCAGGGTGCCTCTGAGTGGACTTGAACCACCAACTGTTTGGTTAGAAGCAAGTGTATTAACCATTTTCAGTAGTGCTAATTACTATTTCCTTTTTGAAGAATTCAAATTACATGGTGCAAAGTAAGACACTTAACTGTGTGTATGTGTATACATACACACACTATATATAATATATAATATAATCAATCAATAATCATTTAAAACTAATATGTATGAATTGAAAAAAAACCAGAAGGGTAACATGTATTAACAGTAGTTACCTCCGACTCTAGGCTAGTGAGTGTATTTTGTATTTTGTTTTCTTCTATGTAGGGATGAATTTACATTTTCCCACTTTTTGTTGCCAGAAAACAAGATTATTTTAGATAATCATTACCTCTGTGAGTCAGAAGCAACTCGATGGCATTGAGTTTGGTTTTTCTCTTCTTTTTTTTTTTGGTGGTAAACTTTAAAATTAGATTTCCTATTTTGTCACAATCTTGTCATTATTTCTACTCAAACCAATTTGTACCAGTACTGATTATCTGAAATATTTATTGATCCTATATATAGAAAGGGAGCTCTGGTAGCATAGTGGCTAAAGGCAATTGACTGCTAACCAGGGGGCTGGCGGTTCAAATCCACCAGCAACTCCTTGGAAGGAAGATGGGGCAATCTACTTCCGTAGTGATACTGCCTCGGAAACCCAAGGAGGGGTCGCTATGAGTCGCGTCCGACTTGACGGCACATAACAACAACAACAACAATATATAGAAAATTTTTATCATGATAGAGTTAAAGATTGTAAAAAATTTTGTTCCCTTTCTTGATTTGTGTATCCTTGACATGAGTTTCTAAAGAGGTGGGTAAAATGTGGAAAACAATTGGACAAAGTAAAAAAAAAGTATCACATACTATGAAAATATATTCAAGTACCAGTTGTATTTATAATATCAAGGTGGGTACTCCAGAAAGTGAATTTGGTGAGACATGGGAAACTGGAATGCCTCATGGTCAAGAAATTGTTTCAACAGTGGACAGTTTATTGACTCTAATATTTATGCCTCATAGCTTAGGTCGCCATTTTACTCTGAATGTGGCTTCTTCCGACTGTAGTTCTTCTCAAGTATGGCTGTCTTGCAAGTCTGATTCATGTCTCTGTCATGTGTCACATTATTTTGATGGTATCACTGTTTTGTCTGTTAAGGCAATTCCCCCATCTTTTGTTCTGTTGGAGCCCTGATGGCACAGTGGTTAAAGTGCTTGCTGCAAACCAAAAAGTTGGTGGTTTGAACCCACCAGCCCTTTCATGGAAGAAAGATGTGGCGGGGTGCTTCCATAAAGATTTATAGCCTTGGAAACCCTGTGAGCAGTTCTACTCTGTCCTCTCGGACTACTGTGAGTCAGAATCAACTGAACAGCAGTGGGTTTGGTTTGGGTTTGGGTTTTTGCTCTGTTAATGTTTCCACAGCTAGTTCAGTGAAGCTTGTTCATGCACAGGAACCTCTCTTTCTTCTGTCTCCTTTCTCTGACTTACAGGAACTGAGGGTGGCTTCTGGTGTTTTTTGTGTCTTCATCATTTCCTTCTCGCCTCTCATCCACTTCCATGATGTAATTCTTGGCACTTTTACTTCCTTTGTAGAGTAGGATGTGATGTCATAGAGAAGGGGACAGGGCTATCCAAATTCTCTCAATTGCTGGGAGGAGCTGCCCAGGTGCTGAGGGGCCTGTACTCAGGAAGAGAAACAGGGAATCCTCCACAGTGAGTAACCCCACTTTCAAGTGCACCCAAATTCCCATCAAAACATTGTCCAGTACGGTGGAGTTTGCTCTTTGGCCCTTTCTAGATTTAATCAGGTCACCCTTTGGACATTCCCAGTTCAGCTCAATGTTCCTCCTTTCTCTCCCTTCTCCTGTGATTCTCCTCTTTCTATTCTGTGCCTCTCCCCTTTTTCTTGCTTGCGTATTTGTGGATGTCTATGTTTATTGACCTTCTGCCCATACATTTGATCAGAGATCATTGGTGTTCTCAGTATTGCCTCTCATTTAGGGTGATGCCTACCCTGTGTGTAGTTCATGTCACCACAATATCCCCTTTCAGTAATTCATAATTATGCATTGTTCTGCTTATAGTCTTATTTAAAAAATTCTGTCAGCTTTTTTGTTTTCATATCTCTTTTCTCTTTTTCTTTGTGATCTTATCTTTTTCCCTTTTCAGCTCTATTATGCAGTTTCCTTATTGCCTCTTCCCCCCCAGTGTGTTTGAAGTTTATTCCTCTTCCCTGTACAGCTATGCCTATACTTATTATATATTTTTTTCTCGTTCCGCAGTTTTTAGTTCAGCTCTCCAGTGTCCTTGGTGAGAGCCATTTTCCTTCTTTCCTATTGATAAAATGTTGTGACTGCCTCCTCTTACTTCTCCCAGATCTTTCTAGTATAGCTCATATTTCCATATTCTTTAAAGAACTGACCAACTGCAACTAATGGGCTGATCAGGATTGGGGGAAAAAATGGGGAAATGGTCTGAGAACCAGCAAGGGGAGAGCAAGAAAGCCATTCTGAAAGTCAATGAAGAGGGGCAGATGGTATGTAGCTTGTTGGAGGACCTTGATGGGCAGAGCCTTTGCTAGTGAAGTAGTTGAAAGTTGGCCTTTGGCAGTAGGAGGGATCACAGAGCTATTATGACCAGATTTGGCAGCCTTTTTAATTTTGGGTTTTTAGAGTGGCCTCTTAATTCTTAATGAAGATGGCCCTTATTGTATATAATCATAGATTAGAATCTTTAAGTTGCATGGGGCCATGACTTGTGCATGAAGCTGCTATGCATGAAGCTCCTATAAACCAAGCCATATACCATGTTTAAGTAAGTATCTACTCTCGGAGAGGAGGCCATTGTGAGGGTGTGTGTAGACTTGGTTCTTGTAGCCATATGTGGTCCCTGTAGTCACTATTGGTAAGCATTATGGGAAGTGTTGCTTACTGCTGTCACTCTAGTCCCTAGATAAATAAAGGAACTTGATTTCCTGGGCTGATGGTCTAATGCCTGTGAGAATTATCAACTTTATCCCATGTATTCCCCTAACCTTTGTTTAAAGACACTCCCTGCCCCAAAAAAGCAGAGCAGAAGCGGAGCGAAGGAAAGTGGGGCTCACTTCATAAAACAGGTGGGCTGAATGGGAAGAGAAGGGGGCTCACTGGAATTTAACTGGAAAGGCAAAGGAAAGGAAACTGAGCTGAACTGGGAAACTTTGTGATAAAATACACGGGCTGCTCTGTGCTCCTTTCAACATATTGGCCATGATTTTTTTTTCCTTGTCCTCATATATGTTTTTTGTAACTATAGAAGAGGTTGAACGTACTATAAATCTGGTGAGGTTGTTTCTGACCAGCGCTTTGTTTCCTGCTGTTGGTAATAATCAGGATCCATGTTTCCAAGGTTTTGGAAAAGTAGGAAACATTTTAACAACCTGTAAATATATCCACCAAAAAATATTAGCATTTTTTTTTTTTAATAAAGGAAATTATATTTATTAACTTTAGGTTTCACATCCCTCCCCCCTTTTTTTGGTGTGTATGCCTTTGTGACATTTTTGAAGAATGATCCCTATAGGTTGCGGACATTGCCATAAATGTCTAGAAAACATTTGCATTCTTATTTTGGACACCTGAGCTGTGTGATGGGACCTCATTTTGGCAGAACAGCCCCTTCCCCTTTAAAATTTTAAGCATATATTGCATGACTCACGTTTTCATCTTGTATGGCTTAATATGATCATCTGGGAATCTTATGTTTATTTTTATTTTTTTAGGCACTAGAAAAACACCCCAACTCACCAATGACAGCAAAGCAGATATTGGAAGTGATTCAGAAAGAAGGATTAAAAGAAACAAGGTCAGTATTCATGTTTAACAGTTTTTATGTTTTCATTGATTAATAATTGCCACTAGTTGCAATGCAACAGAGGTATGCATTTTTGATATTGTAATTGATTGTGTATTAAGTAAACTACCTGAAAGTTCTTTTGTGATTGTCAAAGACCTGGATGACCCAGGATTTCCTTAGAACTGCCTGTTAACTTAATAAATGACATTAGATGGATTGATAGAGGATGCACTTTCTTAACAAAGAGCAGCACTGTATGGCTTAGCCCCTCATTGGCGTTATTCCTATTTCTTGTTCTCATAAGAGGAGATTGTGTTTCTGAAAATGAGAAGTGAAAGAGAAACACTTTTATAGACTCAATAGATAAATCGTAAGCTAGAGAAGTGAACTCACTCTGATAAAATTCAAAGTGCAATGAATGCAATTGAACATTTAATCCTATTATATTTAGAATGCCTCTATTTGAAGTATCATGTATCAGCTACTAATTCTTTAGTTTTTTTGAGATATGATTCACATACATACAAGTCACCCTTTCAAAGTACACAATTCATTGGTTTCTGGTTTATGCACAAGATTGTGCAATCATCACCACTATGTAAATTTAGAATATTTTCATCACCTCAGAAAGAAACTGTTTCCATTTGCAGTTACCCCAAGCCCCTGGCAATTACTAGTCTACTTTCTGTCTCTATGGATTTTCCTATTCTGGGCATTTTATATAAATAGACTCATACGATGTATGGCCTTTTTTGACTGTTTTTTTTTTTTTTTTTTACTTACAACAATTTTTTCATGGTTCTGCCACATTGTAGCATGCATCAGCTTAGCATGCATCAACGTTATAGCGTGCATCAGTGCTTTCATTCTTTTTTATGGCCAAACACTCCATTGTATGAATATACCAGATTCAGTTTATCTGTGATGATCCTTTATTTTTATTTTTTTATTTTAACACTTTGGCTGTAGCTGGCAATATAGGCCACGTAGATGATTATTGCACAATGTGTATAAAAGATGGTTTTGTAGGTTAAAATAACCACCATGTTGCCGTATGTGTATAAAATCAGCACGAGGTTACCTTCCTGCACACCATTGTGGGTAAAGTAACTGCAACTTGCTGAAGAACCGCCTTGTAGCTGACCGACCGACCCTGTGAATGTTTTGACTGATACTGAGATAGTATTGCAGGGAGAAGTGAATATTCTCCCCAGGCTAACTTTTCCTAAAAATAGGTATCTCCTATAACTCTATAGTGTGGGTAACATCCACCTCTTAGTTGTTTAAAATGTATCTTCTGAAGTTAGATCCATGAATGTCACAATCAAGTGAGGGCATAGAATTGAGCTATACTCAAATTCCATCTCTATATTGAAGTCTGTTTTCTGCCTGTCCTGGAGAAATAGTTTGAGCTCATGTAACTACTCTGTGTTTGCAATAATTGAACCCCCATGAAGTGGAGGCAACAATGGGGAGGGAAGATGCTGACAGTGCCCAACAGCTCTGTTAGAAAAGAGCCTTTGCTTCTATGCCACATGTCAGTGTGAGGGGTTAGGGAACAAAATGGGGAGACCTGGATATTAATTTTCTCCTTGCTGCTTATCAAAAGCCCTGAAAATATTTATACCATTTAGATAGCATTGAAAATATTTGTGCTAAGGCCAGAAGAAATGAGAGGGTAAAAATCTAAGGATATCAGTTCTTGACAAGTGTAGGCTTTGTGCCAGAAGAATCTGCCAACACAGACTAAAAAGCAGCTTTTATAAGCAGACATTTGAAATTTGTTCATTAAGATATTCTTCTCCATAGGGGTGACTGTGCTACTCTTGGTTGTTAGAGACCTTGAGATATAAAATTCCTGCACCGTAGCACTGAACAGCATTTTAATTACACTTATTACTGTAACAGCATCGTTTCATATTTTTTCATAAAGCTGGTCTTCCCAAAATGGTATATTAAAGGTCTTTATGCATACATGGCTAACAAAACCCAGCAAAACAAAGCAACCAGCTTCTTTAAAGAGTAATTATAAAGAACAGTGAAATAGGAAATATAACCTCTTATTCATCTGAATTGGTCCCTTGGTGGTGCAACGATTTGTGTGTGGCTACTTTACCAGAAGTTTTTTGATTCGAACCCACCCTAGTACCATGGCAGAAAGGCCTGGTGACCTGCTTCTGTAAAGATCATAGCCAAGAAAACTCCACGGAGTTCAGTTATGCTTTGTAACTCCTGGGGTCACCAGGGGTCAGAATCAGCTGCACAGTGATCGAAATTCCTCTAAATGTGCATCTTCCCCAAACCTCTTCCCCTGATCATCATCATGCCCTCCTGTAAAGGAAGACAATGTTTGTTGTTACAAATACCGATATTGAAAGTACCTGCGAGGAATTCGTAAGTTGGAAGGAAAAGGCAAAGAAAGGGACCATGGTTCTATTGAACTTATTCTCTGTAAAATCAGCTGTGCATTGTGAGGTGACTGTGCATCTTGTGTTCTCATTTCTTTTCATTCTGTTTCTGTAAATCTTATTTCTCCTGTCAGTCTGTGACCTGCTTTTATGTCTGGCTTATCTGTGTCTATTCTTCCCCTGTTTTCTAGTTCTAGTTGATTAGAATCATCTCTAAAATAAATGTATGAATGAATTTTTGAGACTCTCCCATATGCTAGGCATGTTATTTTAAAGTTTAGATTCTGGCATTTTGTTTGCCTACTTAGTATACTGTTTTGGCACCTTCCAAGTTCTTAAGTGTTTTCCAAATGCTTAAAGTAGCTGAATAAATGAAGTGTAACTGTATGTGTTTTTCGTAAGTAATGTTAAGTTTAGAAATTGTCAAGCATAACTGATTAATTTCAAATTATTTAGTAATGATGTCCTTTTTAAGAAATGCAGGTTTGATATGCCTGATTCAATATATGGAAGTGATTGTGAATGGTAATAATGTAGCCATAGCTCTCTTGGTATCTCCTTTTATGGATGAGAGGTAGATATTTCCAGTCTCCCCAAAATAGTCTGCCACTGTACCTAGCATTTCTGGAAAGAGAAGATTTGGTCATTAGCCATCATCATTCCGTCAGACTGGCCTTTAAATAAGGCCATTTGTTTCAAGTTCTAAGGGATACTTCATTCTCCATGTGCCAGGTCAGGCTTCCTATAGCATTGACCTTGCTGTATTATAATTTTGCCCTTGTATGTCTTCCTTGTTGACACTCAGCGGGGACTAAATAAACATTTGTTGAGTAGATGATCTTCATTCTCAAGGTGGTACTTTGTTGGTGTTTACTGATGACTTGTTTGCATTCAGAGTTGGAAGCTTCTTTTTAATGTGACATGTTTGTCATCCTAGTCAATAGTTTTTTTTTTTTTTTGCTGTTGCTTGTTTTCAAACATTATAAGAACCTCTGGTTTAAACATATAACTTGCAGTAAAAAAAATACATTGATAATTTTGATGAAACTGATGTGGATATTTGAATGTGTGTGGCTTGGAAGGAAGGTTGGGTGATCAACTTCCTTAGTGATACTGCCTTGGAAACCCAAGAAGGGGTCGCTATGAGTCAGATCTGACTCAATGGCACATAACAACAACAATAGTACATGTGGTGGTGTTACTAGCAGTCCCTGGGTTATGAACATCCAACTTAAGGACAACTACTGCTTGCCCTTTAATGTTATGCAAATGTGCCCTCACTTTGAATACTCCCAACAAAGTTCTTCATCAAAACCTTCACTTGCTGTTTGTGTAGCTTGTAAATTCTTGAAAAGGTTTTGAGCCATTTCTTACACAGAAGTAAAGCAAATAAGAACCATATATGCACCTGTTCCAACTGACCTACGAATTCTTAAAGACCCCGTTAGGAACAGCCTTGTCTGTAACTTGGGGACTGCCTGTATTTTATTTGGCTGAGATGAAATTCTTGACATTTTATGCAACCTTTTCCTTTTTTGAAGTAAGGTACTTTAAATATTTTTCATTGTGGACATGATCAAATGAGAACGACTTTCCTACATCGTGTTTTTTTATATCTTTTTTGTATTTTTGATGTAATGTGTACTGTATGATTAAATTCTATTTGGAAAAGCTAGACTGAACTAAGTATTTTCCATGTGTGTTTTCAAAAGAAATGTGAATATTAATTAGTTATCAGAAGAACATCTGGGTTTTGTTAAACAAATTAATAATAGGATCATGGCATAGTTTTTTGCCCCAAAACTTTTTTTTAATTGAAAGTACAATTGGCAAGTTTTACTTCCCTTCTGTATAATGGGATAGATTTTTATCAATGTAATTTTGTTCTGGCATATCGATACACTGGCTTTACTGATTTTGAGTGAGTATTTACAGGCTTCTTTTACTTGTCAGTGATTGATCAAACATAGCTGTTTGGAATGCTTCTAGATAATTGAACCTTCTAACCAATCAAATAATTATGTTGCTTACAGAGGGGATTAAAAATGTGAATATTCCAGTTTGCTGCTTTTTGTGGATGAATATTTGGTGGTGGTGTTTGGTGTACTCAGCTAAGCCATTCCTTCTTCCGTGGGGAGGTATGGTGCTATTGTAGACTACGATCTTGTCTGTAGTAATTAAAAGTACATCCATAGAAAAAAAGGACTAACTCCAGTTACCATGTTGCTTTGGATGGTTTTTGGGGTAGTTCTAATTCTATTTTGGCTTTTGTTTTGCTTATTCAGAAGTTATTTCTTAAAGAAGACTGAGGAGTCCTTGATGCCTGAGAATGTTTTTATCTGCTCATTTAAAGTGATGCTTTCAAAGAATCCTGTGCTCTGTACAGGGACATATCCAGGTGCTGTTAGGTCTAGGTAAGACTTATATCACTCATTTGTAAGAGCAAACAACCATCCATCAGTGGAGTGAGGGGTAATTTTCTATGTGCTGGGCATCATTATAGCAAGATACCTATCATTAATGGAGCATGAACTGTGATACGATATTTATATTCGTGAATGATAGGTAAATAGCTTTTTAATGGAAGAGAGATGATCATAA